ACAATTTTTACGGAACTTAAGTATATATATCTGTTTTGCTGAAAGAAAACAAAGAATTAGCGTGGCTTGGTGGTTTTGTGTCTCTTATAACCCGAGTTCGAGTCCCCATATGCTCATTTTGCATTATTTTTTCGGATTTACTTTAATGAAACGTAAAATTACCATATTATCCTCGTCTTCCTCATTAACAAAACCGATTTCTGCAATTAGCCACCATTTTTTGTTTTTCATTTTTTTCACGGGTTTCTTCATTTTTTTGGGTTCTTTTTGTTGTTTTTAACAAAGATTGATAGATCCATAAAACTACTATCAATTATCATATTCTAATGATGGAAAAATTGAGTTTTTTTCTAAATTTCCGATTAATTGTCCGAATTGGACGTAATCCCGTCGGCATCATGCCACTGTGCGCCTGGCCGCCGTGGATCGGCCGCCACGGCCGCGTTTTCGAACATTGATAATATTACAGTAATATTAAAATATTACTGTAAATAAGGCGCAAGTACATGATGTTATGTAGATGAGACAAACTTGAAAACGATGAAGAATCAAAGGAGGCTAACCTAAAAAACGGACAGACATTTTACAATCTAGAACTGTGCATACAAACTTTTAAATTGTGCACACACTACTATATCAAAAGTTTAATTAGTCGCAGAGCCGTGCCATAGTGCATAAAAATAAGCATTGGCCTAGGGCATCAAAAAAGTTTTGAAAACATTCAAGGGCATCTTTTACTCTTAATTTTATTTGGTTAGTACATTATTAATTGTAATTTCATGGCAAAGCAAAACATGAACTTATATATAAACATATTTTATTCTTCTTAAAAGAAAACAATAATTTATTGTTAAAATATTAAGATAAACATAAAGATTTATTCTATCTGATGTCATGTTATATTCAAAATGTTAAAATTGAAAGTTTCACACTAATATAATTTTTCAATTCATATTTTTTCCGTGAAGCATCGTCGTTAAGATGAGTTACTAATTTTTATCCGATAAAACCTGATGTGGATATCTTATCCATTGAAAGAGAATTTGTCAAAAATGTTGAATTTTTTTGGTTTTTTATTTATTTTCGATGATGAAACTTAACGATTTTTTTTATAAACTTAAGTTTTTATTTTTCCGTTTAGGACATCCACCTACGTTATCACGACTCTGATTTGTCGGAGTA